ACGAAACATTCTTCGTTTTTGACGAACTTATTTCATGGGAAATACTCCGAAAATACATTTTTCAAATTGGCGAAATGCTTAATACGAATTTCGTCAAAGGCAACATTACAATTGATTTTGAAATATAAGTTTTAAAAAAAATATATAAAAAAGAATGCTGGAGTGTGAGTAGTATTGAGTCATTTCTTGAACTCAAACGCGAGATATAGGCGATTGCATGATTATCATACCTTTGCACAATGCAAACGGTTTTAAACTCAAGCGAAAAATTTTGTGAACTCCCAGAATGCACTGAGCTGAAACACGAATCAGGAGACAGTTTCGTCCAACATTTCAGAGTTCGCGTTTCACAAAAAAATCACGTGATTTAATGACGAAAATGTTGCGAAATGCGGCTGAAAGATTAGTGAATCGTCATAGAGGAAAGTTTTTCTGAAAGGGCGTAAAACAAGAGTGGTGCAAATGAGAAAGAACGTGTAAACTCATATTAGAGAAATTTTTATTTTCCCTTATAAAATACATTTTCATTAAAAAAAATTGGTTTATTTTATCTTAATAAGTCTAAACATGTGTTCTGGTTGAGAAATTTCAACCTACCCGGTATATGAAATTCTTCCTCTACCCTCGATGTTTAATTTCAATAAAGTCGAAGAAAACCAACATCATGATGTACAGTAAAACTATAAAAACCATTAGCACTTAATGACAAATCATACAGTATATTTATTAATACCCCATTTATATCTGTGTTATCAAAAATGACTAAAACTCTGAATCAACCAATTTAATTTTTAATCAACACTCTCAACTGCAAAGTAAGATAATTTACATAGCGCAAAATAAAAAAATAATCCCGAATAACTTTTGATCTATTGATCGGATCTTTGTCATCACATTCCAAAATTCATCTAAATTCAATCGAGGGGGTGACTTCAAATATGCTAATTAATTAGGGCAGATTATATTTGACGTTATGAAATCAGACACCAAAACGTACATTTTCTGAAGAAAAAAAAAACATACCTTTTTTTGACTGATACAGATTTCAAATGCTCAAAATATAGAGGGTAGAAGCGATCTGAGAAATATGGTTTTAATTGTTTGGCTCCCCTTTATGTTAGTGTTACTTTTTCGTATTTCTATAAATCATTCTATGCAAAATATAAGTTTTGGTAAATATTTATTATTTTATTAAAAAATAGTCGACAAAAATTTGAATTGCAAGACATCCAAGTTTAAACATCATTTGAGAGAAGGCTATTTTAAATGCAAATCGGTCGAATCTGAGAAATCGAATTTTGAAATGTCGTATTTTTAAGATCGTGAAGATCCGATCATTAGATTAAAAGTTATTTAGGGTGGTCCGTTTATTTTGTGCGCACCATTCATTTATATTAATTCATCAACAATTCCAACAGCCTACATTTCAATTCAGTAAGCATGCGGCCTTGCAGATATAATAAAGGTCTAAAATCATGTTATATTTTATTCACTTAACACCATTCATTGCCATATCATGATCTATATCTCTAACTTCGACTGTCTAAAGATAAGAATTAATTAATATAAATAAATAGTGTGTAACTGTTTCAATACAATTATCGTATTATTCTAATGCACCGATAACTAGCATTTATCCATATTTGGAAGTATATTTGTAACAATCTAAAAATTGAGTGAAGCTATTTTTATTCGTGCTGAGTCATTTTTTACGTCTTTTATTAATTATTTTATGCCTAATTAAAATACTCTTCGTTCATAATAAACTACTGCAAAAAAATCAATTTTTCCAGAATATAGGGATTCGTAGTTATGTCTAAATCTTGACCAAGTGACTGAACAGTTACAATTTATGCAGCTGGTAGAACCATAAAGATTGTTGCAACCTTTATGAAGTGAAATCAAGCAAATATTATAACACTTTTTAGAATTGATAACAATTACGTGGAACCGTATTGTGATTCAAATCGACTTTTTCTGAGAGGGAATGACTGATTGTTAAGTAGTTAGCAATATTTTAAGCGAGCAGTTTGTTGTGGTTTAACAAATTTCAAAATGAAACATGGGCAGTGATGGTACTTACATTTTGCATGTTTGCAGCAATACTTTTCATGTATTTTTCTTCGTTTTTAAAGTAATTATATTTTATAATTCTGTAGGCATAGAACAGTAAATTTACTTTTCCAGAAATCGCTGTTTAGAAATTATTTTCTTTTAACACTTTGATGCAGATGGGACACTGGTGTCCCTTTTATATAATATTTTTCTTATGCTCTAATTACAAGCAAAAATATATTTCGATATTTCTTAACTAATTACAGTCGAAAAGTTACAATAAAAAATCTGTTAGATCATGGGAATTATATTTGTTCTAAAACATAAAATCTAAGAAAGTAGTTCGAGTTTTCTTAATTTTTTTTTATTTACATCAAAAATTTATCAATAATTGATTTTGTAAATTTAAGAAATTTCTATGATGAATAACTATGTTTTTCAGATCTAAATAATTGCAAATTTGAAAAATTATTGTTTGGAAGTGAGTGGTGTTAGAAAGATTTTACCTTAAACGCAGAAAAAGACATCAATATTCCAAGTTGCATTTCATACCATAAATTATTAAAATGCTAAATATATTATTTTTGGCTTATTTTGACCTAAATAAATGAAGAATGTATAAAAAAATTAAAACAAATATAATTAATAAAAATTCTGTATCAAATTGTTAATTACTTTCCAGTATCATAAAAGTACATATTTCAATGCACTATTAAAACAAACCTAATATTTAATGTAATTTTATTAGGCATTTGTGAGATACCTCTCTAAATATAAATAGGTTGAATCAGATTTAACAGAGTTTTCTGAAAAATATTTATTTTTGAGAAATTTGAAGCTTAACCAAGATAGGCAGTTTTGAATAAATTTCAATTTTTCTGTTGCAATTCACATACCTTGAATCTCTATAACCGGAAAGAAATTAAAAGACAGCGTCAACGCAACAAAGAGAGGAGGAAAAATTAAAACGATAGTCTGAGGGGGTGGTTTTAGGGTTAGCAACTTAATTTCACCCCGTGGTAAAAAGGTGGAATACTTGATGGAATAAAAGGATGTACACCCCCACATTAAGTCCCCTTGACCCCCCAACACAGTTGAGTAGAGAGATAGTGCAAAAGCAGATTAACAGATTTATAAAATGGCAACAGCTCGACCGGAGATTACAGCCAGATTGTAAATTTGATTGAGTGTGCATTTGAATCCCTCTGGAGAGTAGGGTCCTCCAAACCACAATGGAACAGTAGGAGGGGCACGTGCCCTGACTAATCTTCTTTAATATCTGACGTTCTGATCTGCAGTGGGAGTGATAATACAGCAATTTCATGCCTTGAAGGGTTTTTTATGAGGCACATTGGCATGTTTTGCAAAGAAAAAAAAGTTCGAAATAGAACTTGGAAAAATAAATTTCTTTTAAAAAAATTTATTTTGTTAAAATTTAAATAGATATTGATGCCGATTCATTTCCCTTTAGATACATTAAAAAACCAGTTCACAATAATTTTTACATTTAATTAAGTGCATTAAAATATTAACAGAAATAAGGTCATTGTCATACGCTCTTAGGAAAATTGGCTCCATGTTAAATCCTTGTATCAATCGTTAGAACTAAAAACAGTGGTAACCTTAATAAGTTGATACATGTAGCTATGTTTCCGTTGAAGTTGAACAGTAGTATCTTATAATCAGGTTTAAGAAAAGAATAATATTATGGTTCAAATTAAAACCCCATTATTAAACTTTAAAAATAATGTGGTTTAACTTAATACCCTATTAAAGGTGTCGCCAGCTTGAACGATATCATGGTTTAACTTAATACCCTATCAAAGGTGTCGACAGCTTGAACGATATTATGATTTAACTTAATACCATTTTAACGCTGCAGAAAAGTTTAACGATATTATAGTTCAAGATAAACAAAAAAACAGAGTATTAATTTACATAATTTACAACTTCATATTAACAAAAGTTGAAAAAAATGATCAAATAAAGTTTTTTAAAAAAATGAAAATACTGGAATACTATAGTTTTCAACATAAAAAAGAATTTTATTTATTGTCATTTTTCTAAAATATCGATTACTGAACCAAAAATGCTAGCGAAAAGTAAATATTAAAAGTCTTAATTCAATGTATTCCTTGGAGTGAAATATGCAGGATGTTCTGTAATTATCACCCTTACTGTATATTTTAAAAACTGTGTTTCTGGCTCCATGGGAATACCAAAAAGCTCGGTAATTTTAAACGAAGCGCTTTAATAATGATTTTGGTAAAACTGATAGTAAAATATGCATTGCAAAAAATTTCGCCCTCAAATTACAGTAAAGTACGAGCACTTAGGGTGCATCATTGGTAAAATCAATTTTACAGTAAGATATTACACCATAATTTTTCTGTAATATTTATAAAATTAGAATGATGGAGTGATTTTTTGATAGTTAATACTGCAAAAATTACGGTATATTATATTTTTTTTGTTTCGTAACATGTTCCGGTAAAAAGTACCGACACCCTGAATGCCGGTACTTTTTACAGTAATTTAATCCGGAATATATTTTTCAGTGTGGTTTATAATACGTGATAAAATTTTGCAATTTTATCATGATACCTTTGAGCATGGTATAAAAGCATATTAAGTTCAATTTACTTTTCAATTTTGTATTTTTTACTTAACATGTTGTAATCTATCATTTGGAAAACCAGAATTCCAGATAAACGTTAGTATAATAACGGAAAAATTACCCAATGAATGGTTTAATCGCCGTATATTTTAGTTTTTATTACAAGAATTTTTTTCCAGAAATCTTAGTACTTCTATGTACGGCAATTTTACCAAAAAATTTTTCTCCGTGCAATTTCCGATAATTGAGATATAGATATGACTTTCATTTCACTTGTTATAGCAAATAAAAAATCCTTTTCATAAACTTATTAAAAAAAAAAACCTACCTTATAGAATTGGTGTGCTGACTAATATTGGTTATATCACTTTCGGCGTCTTGTCGATTTCTTTTGACCTGAAAATAAAAATAGAATAAATAACTACAAATAATCGAGTAAGAAATGTTACGTACACTCTTCGAAAAACTTTTTCAACCTGGTCAAACTGAACAATATTTCGATTCAAAATTAACAGTGGTTTTATATTTGCATTCTTGGTATTATGCAAACGCATAAGAATATTTTTTTATTAAACATATATTTATGAAATGTTGTATTTGAAAGCCTTAAAGCACTAGAAATTTAGAAAGATGTTTTAAATTTTAAAATATTCTATTTCTTTGTGTGAGGCTTATATAGTTTTTATCTGAAATAATGCAGCAGGTGTATTAAAAGCAGTTAATCAATTTTTTTTGTTCATGTTACTAGTTAAGCTAGTTATTAATATAAATATTTACAAGAATTTACGCTGAAATATAAGATATATTTCTGAAATATAGATATGATTAATACCCATTCAGTTTTGAAAAATAAATCAAAAATTTATATTGAAATTTTTAAAAACAGCTTATGCAGAGCAACTCAGATTAAAATTTACTTTGTGAAGTTTTATGCAACTGTTTTTTTTTTAAAAAAAAATAATAATTATTCTTACGTCATTTTTAAAAAATTGTTTTATGTTATTTGAAAAGCAATTATTATTTCATTATTTATAGTAGAAAAATTTTTTCTTACAATAACACATCTTTTATGAAATAGCACTTTTTTAGAATTAATTAAGTTCCTTTTTCAATTAGTTTTGGATTTAGAGTGCCAAATGTAGAGAGCACAGTTATTCATGCTTTTTTTTTTCAGATTATATTATTATTTTAATTCTTATAAAATTAACACTTTTTAAGAATTAAATTCCTTCTTTCAACAGATTTAGAATCCCATTATAGAGTGCGATTCCCCATGTTCGCTTTTTTTTCATTAAATAGTTATTTTTTTATTTCTCATATAATTGTACTTTTTTTTAAGAATTAATAAATTTTTTCTTCAAATAATCAGAATCTAAATGTAGAGAATGTTAGAATCTAATTAGAATCTAAACGTAGAGAATAATTTTCCTTGCTCGAGTTTCGTTTTATGTAATCATTCTTTTAATGAATAATTTAAAAAAAAAAAAAAAAAAAAAAAAAAAAAANAAAAAAAAAAAAAAAAAAAAAAAAAAAAAAAACAGATTTAGAATTATGTATTTTTTTAAATTTAGATTTTCTTTCAACAGAATCAGATTTAGAAACCGGTATACCGTACAATCCACCAAATTCGTCTGATTTTCCCTAATAATATTTTTTTTCTTTATTCTTAATTCAACTCAAAAGAATTAAAAAAAATATTGAATATTAAATCCTTTTGATCGAGATTTTAACAACCTTTATCTCACTATTGTAAAATTCTAATTGTAAATAATCATTTTCATATAAGATTACAGTTGAAGGTTGGGGAATTAAAAAAGAATTATTGTTGCTCTTTTGGATCGTTCCTCTATCAAAAAACTGGGTTTCAAAATGTTATTCAATAGAAAAGTAATGCATAACTGGATTGATTTTTGTAAAATTTTGCAGAGGAGCTAATCGTTTGGAGAGCTAGATGGATTTTAAAAGACTACCCAACACTTTACAATTTAAAACCAGAAGATAAAAATAAAATAAAAAACATAAGTGTTAAGCAGATTGCATGTTTCAACGTCCAACTTGTTTATTTTGTATGTGTTCCCATTTATTTCAAACGATTTTATTAAATTGCATATTCATTTTGAAATTGTTTCATAAATCATAGAAATAGATCATTTTCTTATTTTCGAATATGAACAATTTTTCACTTAATTAAAAATCTTAAATGTAACTTTTACATTGCAGCAATATATTAACTCTTTCAACTTTGAGGAATTTTAAGTTAATATATTAAACTTCATCCTGAACACCTAAGTACCTAGTTAACGCCCCTGACAGGAACAAAATTAAATAAAATTATAAATCCACTGATCTAGCACTCATCTCGGCGATGAGAAAAACATGTTAAAATCATCGATCTCATTCTTTACAAGTACCCGTAGCGTCCAGGAACCTTGTTAAAATTTAATGTATGGAGGAATTCGTTTGACAAGTCAGCATTTTGACACCTGTTGGCCAGACGGACCTGTGGGGTGGTAATAAAACAACATGTTTCACTTCCGGAATGTTTTGTCTCTCCCTTCATGTCCATTTCTCATGAAATAGATTGCTTTTTTTTATTTCCTAAATAACTCGGACGAAAATGAATCACTTCGTTGTCTAAAATAAAGTGATGCGCATATTAATTAATTAAATGCGTATTGCTGCAGAACTTCCGCTTTGATTAAGAATATTTTCCTTCGGTAGCAAGCAATGACGAGAAAGTAATGAAAAGAAAGGAATTCTTATAGTCAAAATAAAATAAAAAATTATGTAAAGAGGGATTCTTCTTCTTTTAATTTTGGCATTTTGGCTCTAAAATATAAAAGTTTTCGTTTTAAAAAAGAGTTGGCATTTAATGAATTTTTGAGCTTTAATTAAGCTCCAGTAAAAAAGTAAGAACTCTATATTAAATGTCAGATAAGTTATAGAAAGTCAAAAAAGGTTGTAAATTGCGCAAACGAAAAAACGCACCCTGAATAATTTTTAAAGTGCTGATCGAATCTTCATGTTCTAGGACTCAACCTTAATCAAATTCAATAAGCTAATTAGTTAGTGCAAACGACATTTTAAACTATTAAATCAGACACAAAAACATACTTTCTCTGCGGTTCATCTTAAAGAGAAATAAGCTTCAATTTTTTTTTTAATTAAGGTTGAATCCTATTTGCACCACATTCATTCAGTTCAATTTCGTTTCACTTTTTAAAATAACAACTTGAATAGGTAACACCAGAAGTAACACAGTTTCTCGAACTTCAACGGATTGACCTATTTAATTATCCGATTATCAAAATAATCAGCCCAAAAACTTATACACTCTAACGATAACATTGAATCGTTGAACTTGAGCATACATTTTATTGAACATGATTGAATAACAGATGAAAAACATACTACTTTCATAAACCATCACTATAGTTAAAAACAAGTGAAAGAGTGTGTATCTTTCTTCAAAAGATCACCAAGATGGGTTGAGAGAAGAGGGGGCATCAAAAAAAGACACTTTTTTTTCTATTCCTATTTTCTTTTCTGTCTTGTTTTTCTTTTCTTTTACTCTTTTTCCCATCCATTTCTGAGAAAAGATGGGTCACTAGGGTTGAACCCATTGAGTTAAAGAGGGTGCGGGTGACAAACAGATGAAAAACGTCATAAAATGTCCGCAGTTCTGAAGGAGGGAGTAATAATAATTGTGCTCACTGTATTAGCAATAATTGTAAACAGGATAATAAATACCATTACTAATGCGGTTTTAGATGCAGTACTTAAAAATTTTATTAAAAAAAGAAAAACTTCACGGTTTTTCAGTCAAAGAAATCTTTGAAGTTCAACAAATGCGCATAGCCTTAAAAAAAAAAANTTCTGAAGGAGGGAGTAATAATAATTGTGCTCACTGTATTAGCAATAATTGTAAACAGGATAATAAATACCATTACTAATGCGGTTTTAGATGCAGTATTTAAAAATTTTATTAAAAAAAGAAAAACTTAAGTTCAACAAATGCGCATAGCCTTAAAAAAAAAAAGAACTAAGTACAATAAAGCGAAATAAAAAGTTCAGAATTGTACTTACGCATTCTTAATAAATTAATTGAATTGTATTGGCAAATATGAGAAAAGCTATTATTTGTGGATAGATTATACGGCAACAATATCAATGATTAATTACACTAAAAAAATTTGTAACTTATGTAAAATATTGTCAAAGCAGATAAAAATATACGGGTGAGACGTTTATATGCTTGAACCTTTAAAAAAAATTAGACAATTTCTAAAAATTTTAAAAATACTAAAATTCATTAAAAACATATTTTACCTTTTTAAAAATTTAGTATGGAAAGATTAACAAACGTATTTTTGAAATAGTTACTGCAGTTGAGATAATTATGCACTTTACTTTTTTAAAAAAATTTAGATAATTTCTAGATAGTTTATAAATATTTTATGAAATTAAAATGTATTTCATTTAATTTTTCATGAGAAGTTACNAAAAATGCTAAAATTCATTAAAAACATATTTTACCTAACTTTCACGAAATGCAATAAATAAAGCAACTTTTTTAACGAATAAAGCAACTTTTTGAATTTTTAAAAATTTAGTATGGAAAGATTAACAAGCGTATTTTTGAAATAGTTACCGCAGTTGAGATAATTATGCACTTTACTTTTTTAAAAAAATTTAGATAATTTCTAGATAGTTTATAAATATTTTATGAAATTAAAATGTATTTCATTTAATTTTTCATGAGAAGTTACTGAAACACAAGGTAACTGAGGCAACTAACTGAGCATGTTGTTATATGGCTCTTAACTTTAGGTACCTTATTCCAGTGAAAAATATAGTAATTTTTCCATTTTCACAGTTTGTATTTTGATAAAATAACTTTCTACAAAATTGACATGCCTTTTCTTTATTTTATTTACATTTATTTTATTTATTTATTTGTCTTGCAAGACGATTTAAACTACTCTTCATATATACAATCAAACAATGTACTTTAAAATTTTCATTTTAAATATTGAATTAATATCCTTTATTAAAGATACTAATCTATAAGAAAATAAATAATCCTTTAAAAAAAAGTCCACAACGCATTTAATCTACCTTTTTTTTTAATATATAAAATGTACTACTGCACAAAAATATGAATTTAAATTCTCATACAGTTCTTAAAAATAAAAACTTATCATTTCAGGAAGTTACCTCACATAGAAATATGCTGACAAGTGACTTGTTTAATTGATTCATAACGTTTCCGAATTATCTAAACACAAAAAATACACTTTATAAGATGATAAGATACTAAAATATAAATGTACTTAAACTTTCACCTTTAAAAGTTTGTTTCAATGAAATTTTCTCATCGCTTAACTTCATCTCAT